ATATATAATGGTGCAGCCTCTATGGAAAACAATATAGAGGCGCCTCAAAAAATTAACACTACCCTGTGAGCCAGCCAGCAGTCTCTGTACTAGCTACATATCCAAAAGAATTAAAATCAAGATTTTGAAGCAACCATCTGCACTCCCATGTTCACATAGCATTATTCAAATAGACAAGGTTTCCCCAGGTCAGAAGTTGGGCACAGGTCACTCACCCTCTCCCGGGGTCTCAGCAGACTGCAAGGCTCCTCAGAAACGCAGCTGGGAAACTATCTGCTTTCTAGCTCTTGCATGTCGTCTGCAGATTCTCATTCTGTGGGCCTGCAGGACCGCAGCCTCCAGCACTGGAGCCAGACGGCAGCAGCTGGTTTCTTCCGGCCAGTGCGAGCCTTTCTCACTCCTGTCTGCTGAGACACAGTCTGGTGACACAGCACCATCGCGGAGTCGCATCCTAGGCCTATTGGAAAGAAGTGAGTCACAGTTCCACTGACACCAGGGCATGAGTCCTCTGGGCCACCTGAGTGTGCATCCACGACATGTGCTTTGTCATCCTGGCCCCTCATCCCAGGAGAGGAGCTCTGGACAGTCATTCACAGCCACAGTTATCAGACTTCCAAACCAGGACCCACTGTATACTTAGAAACATTACTGAGCGCTTTCCCTTGCATGAGTAACTGTTCATATTTACTGAGATATTTGCATTTGTATTAACGCACTTAAAAATGACAATAGATGCTGGCCAGGGTGGCTCACACCTGTAATCCCAGCACTCAGGAGGCTGAGGCAGAAGGATCACTATGAGTTCAAGGCCAGCCTAAACTACCCAGCAAGACCCTGTCTCAAAAACAAACAAACAAAAATGAAAATAGGACTAGGATTCCTCACAGCTTAGCGGCAAAACACTTGCCTAGCACATTCAGGACTCTGGGTTTGATCCCCAGCAACACACACACACACACACACACACACACACACACACACGCACACACCATGATAACTCATTATACATTAACACATATGACTTTCAAAATAATTACATTTGTTAAAAATGAAAGGCAGCTGGATTCTTTAAAAAGTTTTTTATTTTTATCAACACACACATGCTTGTAGTAATAATGACTACACTCATTGTGGGGAACTGCTGCATGTACATAACATCTCAATTCTTTTTCCCCTTTCCCCCACTCCCCTTTCCTTGCCAGCATCAGATTCTTTTATTTAGAAGCCCTTATAAACTTATTATCACGCATATAGATTAATAGCCAGACTAACAGGCCAAAGAACATAGAAAACATATAAGGCAACTATACTAAGATACAGTGTCCATGCTGGATTGCAATGACTATTTTTCCTCTCTTTTTTCTTCTTGTCTGTGTTATTTTGTGATTTCTTTTTCTTTTTTTTTTTTTTTTTTTTTGGTACTGGGGGTCAAACTCGGAACCTTCTGCTTATGAGAAAGGTGGCGGCACTGCTGTACATTTTATTTATATATTTTTATATATAGTTTCTCCCATAGAAGAAATTATATATATATATAGATAGATAGATAGATAGATATAGATTTTTTTTTTTTTTTATGGTTTCAAACTCACAGGCATCCTCCTGCCTCAGCCTAATAAGTGCTGGGATTATAGGTATGCACCATCAAGCCCGGCTGAAGAAATGATATTTAAGCTTGTGTATCTAATTTATTTCTAACATTATGGTCTCAAGATGCACCCATTATCCATTTTCCTACAAGTGACTCAAATTTAACCTTGTTTATGGCAAAGTAGTACTCCATTGTGTATAAATACCACATTTTCTTTATGCAGTCATCTGTTAAAGGACATAGAGGATGTTTCCAAGATTTAAGTGTTATGAATTGAGGTAATCTGGGTTTCTTTCTCTTTTTTTCTTTTCTTTTTTTTTTTTTTTTCTGTTTTTTGAAACAAAGTAGTCTTTCTATGTGATCTAAGCCTGCCTTGTACTCACTACTGCAGACAAAAATTCTATCACTAAATCATCAATGCCTTAATCTCTCTATAGAGCCTGGGCAGGCTTCAAACTCATGGCAATCCTCCTGCCTCAGCCTCCCAAGTGCTGAGATCACAGGTGTGTGCCACCACTCCCAATGAGGTAGTAGGATTCTTAATCACTGTTCCTACATTCAATTATACACCACAGAGCCCCCGGAAAATGCCACTGTACATTGATGACTGACTGAGAGTTAAAAAGGCAAATAAGGACCAGGGACTTAGCTCAGTGGCACTGCTGCCTGCCTTGCAAGTGAAAGGTCCTAAGTTTGATCTCCATACCAAAAAAAAAAAATGTTTTTAAAGGGCAAAAACTTTTTTTAATATGCACTATTATGCAAATGCTTTGACCTTGTGGCCCTCCTGAAAGACTAGACCTATCATTGATCTAGAAACAACAAAATGATCTTGAGAAACAACAAAATGATCAGGGGTTCCCAGATAACTGTGAATGGATGGTTTAAAGAATTGTCAATATTGTGCTTACTGCTAGGACCTGAGGTGGACCTATAATTCCAGCACTCAGGAGTCTGAGGCCAGAGGATCACCATGAATTCAAGGCCAGCCAGAGCTACATAGTGAGTTCAAGATCAGACAGAACTACAGAGTGAGACCGTCTCAAAACCCACCCACCCACACACACACACACACACACAAACACACACACACAAATTGTGTTGAAAGAAGGAATTTTCATTCATTCAAAAGATATTGGATGCCCATTCTGAGCTGTTCAAAGTGAACTAGATAGATCAGGTGCCTATCCTTAGTTTGTTCATAGCAGTGGGACGAAAGGTCAGAGAGTGACGTTCGAGCTGAGACTTAAGTGACAAGGGGCCTGCCTGAGCCTGGCAGGCTGGAGAGGGGCCAGGAGAGGAGGTCAGGATGAGACAGGGTGGAGCCCAGCTAAGGAATTCGGGGATTTAAGTCTAAATTACTCGGCTGTGTAAAAGAAGTAGCGGGAGGAGTGGGATGGCTAAGGAATGTTTGTTTGAAGGTGAGAAAGGGCCTGCCCGCCTCTCTCCTCAAATCGGCTTAGGAACGCGACCGGGCAGGGAAAAAGCGCGCGCTGCCTCGAGAAATCTTGGGTCCCGGCGCCCGCCGTAGACGTCGTGAGAGAAGCACCCGTTGCCTTGGAGCCAGCGAGACGCGGCCAGGCCTTCGCGGCTGTGAAAAGACCCGGCCGTGGTCTTGGTCACCATGTCGGTGCTGGACGTGCTTTGGGAGGACCGGGACGTCCGCTTCGACGTCTCCTCGCAGTGAGTCTCTGAGATTCCCTCGGGCCTGCCGCCTATAGAGGGCGACTTGGCACCAACTCCGGCCGAGCGCCTGGTGGTTTGCGCCAGGCAGTGCCACGGCCCTCCAGGCGGGCGCCACTGTAGAAACTCGGCCCGATTATAGTTTCGATTTCCGGAATGTGACCCGCGCCGAGCCCGGGACCACGTAGGGCTTGGATATCCACTGAGCCCAACCGAGTTTGGGATTCCTGTTTCGCGCGGTGCAGGGAATGTGAGCAAGGAGTCAGGAAACCGGGTTCTAAAACCAGGTCCGGAAAAGCGACGCCCGTTGTGGGTACCTGGACAAATGACTTGAACATTCTGAATTCGAGTTTTCTTGTTTATAAGATGAGGGGAGTGGGCGTGAGCGTTCTTCTCCATTCCTAACCGCTGGCTCAAGCCTGTAATCTCAGCACTCCCATTGGCTGAGGTAGGAAGATCTCGAATTCGATGCCAGTTTGAAACAGGGCAAGACCCTGTCTCAAAAAAAAGTCTTAACGAAAAAAGGACTTTGTATCTGTGATAAACTTTCATCTTGTTCATCTGAATTCCCAGTCAGAAGGAGTCCTGTTTCAGAAACCTTCCCAAAAGTCCAGGGGGTAGAAATGCCTGTTGAGATGTTAAGTGTTGGAAAACACCAAAGCAAAGCTTCTTGGGTTAATGGCCTAGAGCTTCTTAGCCACTTCTCAGTGGATGGCATCTCTTTAGATGGAAAAATGAAATTTTGGTACATTTCTCAGGATTTATTGTGATTGGATACCTACGACTAACATAGTATTAGGTCCTTTAGGAGGTTGGAAGGAATTATTACAGGCATTCTATGACTTTTTTCTTTCATCCTTTGAGGACTCTTAATCCAAACGAATGTTCCTTTCATGAGCATTTTCAATTTATTAAGCATTTATCGAATGCTTCCTGTATTCTAGTTACTGTGCTTCTAGCTAGAAATACAAAAGTAATAGGAAATGATTCTCATACATTCTTGCATCCCTGTTCTATGCAAGAGATATACTTAGACAGCTATAATAAATGTGGTTAAAAACCATTCTGAAAAATATTTTTTTAAAAAGCTAGGGATGGTGGGAGAATAGTTCATTATGCCCGAGGAAAGCCTCACAGAAAAAATGATATTTGAATCACACCCATCAATTAGCAGGGCTTTGTCTGCTCAAATAGAGAATGAGTATTCCAGAAAAGAAAGAAAGAAAAAAAAATAGGGCCTGGCGTGGTGGTGCACACCTGTAATCCCAGCACTCGGGAGGCTGAGGCAGGAGGATCGCTGTGAGTTCAAGACCAGCCTGGGCTACAGAGTGAGTTCCAGGTCAGTCTCAACTACATAGTGAGACCCTGTCTCAACCCCCCCGCCAAAAAAAATAGAAGCGATGTCTTGGAGGTATAAACACTGAAGGAGGACAGGCCTTTGGCAGAGGTTGAAAGTATAATAGAAAGGTAGGTCAGCCAGATTGCAAAATGTTCAGCTGAGAATCCTGGACTTAAACTTCTAGGCTATTGGATGACATGGGAAAGCTTTAAATCAGGGAAGAGATATGATTATCAGTACTGTCAGTAGCTGCTTGAGTTGACTCTGTGGCAGATTTATTAGAATGCTCTCCTTGTAGTCTGCTAGTTTGTTTTCTCAGTATTTCTGGTTTATTTGTGTTTTGACACTCCAGAATTCTACTAGTTAGCAAGCTCTTTTTATATCTAATTATGTGCTAAGGCCTGAAGATGTTTTGGGTACAGCTCTTCTTACCATCCCTTCCATAGCTACCTGATGTCCTTTTCTCTACTTAGAAACCTCTGAGGGCTCTTCACTGTCCACAGGATGGGGTCACGCTGGCATTCAGGGTTCTCCATTATCTGGTTTATCCTTAGTTACCCAATTGTGTTTCTCTCAAGCCTCAATACCTCTTCTCCCAGGCTGGTCTTTTCATGTGCTCTTGTCTTTCTTATCCTCTCTTTAATCATGGACTCTCCTGTCTTTCCCTTACAGTTCTCCAAATGCTACCCTTTCCTCCCAGTTCTGCTTACTCTTTAAGTGGCACTGGTCACTCCTGTACCGCTGATATCTTGGCCTTTGAGGTTGTTCACAGACCTCACTTTCAATCACAGGTGCACCTGGGACTATGTCATTTATAGTGTCAGCTGTTTTGATACAGTGTCTCTTCTCTTCCTAAAGAAATTGTAAGATGTTGTTGTAATTGTAACATTAAAACTTTTGTATTTATTTTAGACAAATGAAAACAAGACCTGGTGAAGTCCTTATTGATTGTTTAGATTCAATTGAAGACACCAAAGGAAATAATGGGGATAGAGGTTAGTATATTTAATAATATACTTTATATTCTGGTTTAACTTACAAATGTTGATTTGTATTAGCTGGAGAGTATATGAAAAAGTATCACATATAAATATAGTTGTGATGATCCCTACACTTCAGAGGCTGAGGCAGGGGACAAAGCTGAGGCCAGTTTGGGCTACATAGTAGGTTCGGGGCCAGCCTAGACTGTATAATGAAACCTGTCTCAAAACAACAACAACAACAAGAAGTAATTGTGAGAATAGAAGAGTTGAATCCATAGAATTTTCTCAGACTTAAGTAGAAAAAAGAGCAACATAGCTACTAAGCCTGCAGCCAAGGAACACAAATTGTCCCTCAGTGTCAGCCCTGTTTCTCACATCGGCTTTATCCCAGTAACTGGTAAGACTTCAGGAGCCCTTTATGCACAGGTTGTGGAGAGTTCTGACCTGCATCAGCCTCCCCCAGGAGGGTACAGAGTAGTGAGTGTAAATAGGTCAAAGCTGTAGTACCTGGAGCCATGCTGCTTTGTTGGGGAGGGGTGTTTGTTTGTTTGTTTGTTTGTTTTTGGCATGGGGGATTGAACTCTGGACCCTGCGCTTGTGAAGCAGGCGGCAGCACCACTGAGCTAAATCCCCGGCCCCATGCTGCTTTTTAAGGAAATCCAGGGTAAATGCCCAAGCACCTAAGATGGAAACCTCCAGGTGGACATAAAGTTTAGTGCTACATTGTAGAGTCTGTTTGTAGGTGGAAGACTGGAGAATCCTGCATCTTCTCTGTCGCTGAAAGCAATCCGGCTGCTCCTGAGTCCCTCCCAAGCCAGATGACCTCAGGGTAGACTTTGAAGTCCAGCTGCATACAGCAGCTGCCTGTGGAGCCAGTAGCCAGCAATCAGCAAGTCTCCAGAGTGTCCTTACTCTTCCCTCAAGGGACAAAAGCAGGAGAGGAAGAGCGTTTCCTAGGTGGAGAGAAGGCTTAGGAAGGAGGGACAACAACTCTACCGGAAAGTGGTAGAGTGGCTCAGGCGAGGGAACCAGAACCTTAGGCTAGAAGGTGTTCACTGCGCCTTCAGGGTGCTGCTTGCTGGCCAGGCCTTGCTGCTTGTTAGCAGTTGGCTCATACGTGAGCAGCAGGGCCCGCTGAGCCTTCTTCATGAAAGGAAAGCACCGTCACTGCCAGTGGTGGGCACATCTTGTTGCCGGCAAGGGCCCACCTTAAAACAGTGCTTATACCTCTTTGCTGAAGCGTTCCAGTGACTCCAGGCCCAAGCAAGGGGGAAGCATCTAGCAGTGAATAAAATGTTTTGCTTTGTGTCTTTGACGGTGAATAATAATTTCATCATCGTAATGGTGTATCTCACTGAAATATGAATTAACTCGAGGAAGACAAGAGAAAGTGTGGTTGTTCTCATACAGGTTGGCAAGAATCCTTACCTGACAGCCCAACCTCCAGGACAAAGACAGACTGTGGGTAATAGGGCATGTGTTTAATTTGTCAGGGACTCCTTGAGCGCAGAATCCTGTACCTTTACTAGCACTTTGGAGTAGGGAAGACAAAACGCCTCCCTGGTCTGAAATCTCCATCACAGGTACCTGAAATCCTACTTGGAATTCAAATGACTCTTTGTATGTGCACTGATCTCAGAAGCCTTTGTTTAACTGAAATTTCACAGACATGTGCAGAGCCTCTGGTTAATAAGAAGATAGAAAAGGGAAGGGAAGCCCTATTCTGCTCACAACAGAACTACGTGTATAAGCATTTACCTGAGAACTGCTAGGAAGGTACTCGTAAAGCAGCATGAATGTGCGCATGAGAGTTCTTATTTCAGTCAGTAGCATTGTAATCTTACCATCCCATACTGAGTTGTACACATATTACCTGCTGGGACCCCAGAACATTTTCTAACAAGACAAAAGCTAGTACGCAAAGTAGCACATGGTAGTATGTGCCTGTGATTTCAGGACTCAGTAGGCTGAGGCAGGAGAATCGTGAGTTGGAGGTCAGCCTGAGTTACATAGTGAAGTCAAGGATAACTCAACCTGGACTACATAGCCAGACCCTATCTCAGAAAGAAAAAAACAAAACAAAACTAAAAAAAACCCTCACAATTCTTGCCTTGACTCATTCTAAGTCAAACCAAGCTCTTGGCGGTAAATACCTGAATACCTTCTACAAGCCTCAGATTTTTACAGTCTTACCTAGAAGAAATTTGTGTAAAAAACATCGGTTTTGGTACTGGGCCAGAGTCCCACATCCACCTACAAAAAGTAGGTCCTTCATTAAGCTAATTAATGTTTTATTTATTTGTTTTTAGGTAGACTTTTAGTAACTAATTTAAGAATTATCTGGCATTCGTTGGCATTACCCAGAGTCAATCTTTGTAAGTATCCTTGTTAGATAAAATTCTAAGGTAAAAAATCCTTTGTCAGGGAACTTGGGTGATAGCTTTTGATACCAAAAAAAAAAAAGAGAGAGAGAAAAAGAAAGAAGTTATACCATGAAATACATGGAAATCTGAAATTGACCAAAACTTCAGAAATCTTGAGTTAATGACAGACTGTTTTGTGATGCAAAATAAATTATCCATTCTTTTCAGTCTATAATTGGGTCTTGGACACAGATAAGATCAGAAAATTTACACTGTATAGTTTTTATCTTTGTTTTTTGCTTGTCTTTGACAATTTGCTTTAACATGTTTCAAGAAATCCCAAGGAAGGGAGATGTATCTAAGCTCTAATAAAAGTAAAGTCTCATTGTGTTAGATTTGCTTTACTTGTTTTTTCGGACTATTTTAGATTATTCAGCTAGAATTTTTCTTTTAATATAGTGGTGTTAATATTTTCAATAAATAATGCTGTGTAGGTTGGAGAAAAGCATATTTCATTCTTCCTATATTATGAATATTTTTGTTCGTTCAAGGAGACAGAGTTTAAGGGCTGGGGATTTAGCTCAGTTGTTCTGCCACCTGCCTTGCAAGTAGAAGGTCCCAAATTTGATCCCCAGTACCCCCCAAAAGAAAAGAAAACACCTCAAAGAGACAGAATTGAATATTTCTTTTAATTATTTTAAATTATTAATGAATTATAATTAATCATTAAGTAAAATGTGTACTTTTCTCCTAAAATGTTTAAAGTTATATTTCTATTTGTTTAATTTTTTTAAATGTTAAAAGTTCTGTATAGATGTGTTTGTACAGTGTTTTTTCTCTTTTTCCTGTATCATATTCCTTACATTCTTTTGTTTTGAATTTTAGCTATTGGTTACAACTGCATATTGAATATTACAACAAGGACTGCTAATTCTGTAAGTCTGAAAAAATCTTACTGAGATGTGTATATATATGTAGATAGATAGATAGTGAAGAGACATTAAATATTTGAAGTTAATACTTATTTTTACTTTAAATGAGAAATTCCTCTTCAAATCTAAACTTTAAAATAAATTTGTCCTTACAGAAATTACGAGGCCAAACTGAAGCTCTTTATATACTAACAAAATGTAACACTACTCGCTTTGAATTTATATTTACCAATTTGGTTTCCGGAAGTCCTAGGCTTTTTACTTCTGTGATTGCAGTACACAGGTATAGTAATACTTTATGGAATATTTTAAGGTAATTCTGAGATAAAAAAAAGATTTAGTGGATACAGTTTAGAAGTATGATGAGCTTTATTGCAATTATCCTGAAGACATTTAGGAGGATTTTCATTATCATTTAATAAGCACTTTGAAGGAATTTATAAAATACGTAAGAGTACTGAAGATTCTGACAGAAGCTACCACAAAGTAGGTAAAATGAAATAGAGAATTGACATTTAGTATCAGTAAGTTGAGTAATTCAGCTAATGAAATAAGATCATTTTTATAACAGAAATAAACATATTTGGGTGTTTTTCCTAAAGAGATTTTGTTTTTGGTTGAATTCATCTCTTTTTCATCCCTCACCTCTTAAAAAAAAAAAAGCAAAAAAACAGCTGTCGGCCAGGGATTTACCTCAGTGGCACCACACCTGCCTCGAAAGCACAAGGTGCTGAGTTTGATCCCTGGTACTGGAAAAAAAACCCAAAAGACCCAGATGTATATGCTGTTTTTTTTAAAGCTGGGCTAAGAGGACAAAGTATATAATTGTTTAATTTATACTTATTTTTTTACTAGTAATGTTGACATTTTTCATATGTTTTATATATTTTTGGCAATTTATAGTTTTGTATTATCAATTTCTTAATTATATTATTACCTGTCATATATGTTGCAAGTATTTCTTAGTTTCCTAGTTTGCTTTTTAATTTTGTTGATGAATTATTTATATAAATAGTTTGTTTTGTTTTGTTTTTATAGTGGTAGGGATTGAAACCAGGGAGAACTGAGCTGCATCTCTAGACCCTTTTTTAAAAAAAAATTTTTTTTTTTAACAGGATTTCACTTGGTTGCTCAGGCTGGCTTGCCATTTGTGATCTTCCTGCCTCAGCCTCCCAAGTAGCTGGGATTACAGCTCTGTATCACCATGCCTAACAATGGTTTATTTACTATCTGTCTGTCTCTTGAGACAGGGTCTCACCTTGTATTCCAGGCTGGCCTTGAACCTGTGATGATGATCCTCCTCCTGCCTCAGTCTCCTGAGTGCTAGGATTATAGGCATGTGCCACCATGCTTGGCTTTACTTTTTTACTGAGGTATAATTCATATGACATAAAATTTCACCTAACATAAAGTTTACCATCTTGAAGTATACAGTTCATAATTTAGTATAGTCCCAAGGTCGTACATCTCAGCAATATCCTATCCCAGAATACTCTGTCACCCCTCAAAGAAACCCCATACCTCTGGCACTGTTCACATTACCTCTCCCCACAGCCTGGCACCCATGAACTCATTTTCTTGACAACCATGAGCTTATTTTCTGAGTCTTAAGGATTGGCCTCTCCTGGACATGCGTGGAGCCATACAGTACGTGGGCAAGGTGTCTGACTCCTTTTACACGTTTTCAGGGTCCGTCCGTGTTGCAGCATGTGTTGGTGGCATTGCATTCTTTTTCATAGCTGCCTAATGTTCCCTTATATCCACATTTCATTTGTCTGTTCAACAGCTGAGGGACATTTGGGTTGTTTCCATTTTTTTTTTAGCTCTTATGACTACTATTGCTATGAACATCTGTGTACAAGGTTTTGTGTAAACATATTTTTTCAGTTTGCTTGGCCATATACCTAAATCTTAGTTTTTTGTTTCACTTGGAAGTATAATGAAAAGCTTTGAATGGTGTATTAAAAGAACATGAAAGCCGTGTTTTTTTAGTAGTATAAAAATACATTTACCCCAAAATGACTAGCAGCATAAATCGTGTCCACATTTTCCATTGATTAAGTATTAATGATAATAGCATTGTAGAAAATTAAGATTTAGAGCTGAGGATTTAGCTCGGTGGTTTCACCACTTGCCCTGCAAGCACAAGGGCCCGAGTTCAATCTGCAGTACCAAAAAAAAAAAAAGAAAGAAAAGAAAAGAAAATTAAGATTTATAAGCAGAATGGTCAAATTCTACTCTCATCACAAGTAACATATTAGAATACTAGATAACAATCAGAAGTTTAAGAAGACATAAATATATAAGTGGAGTATAAAGTTATTAAAGCTGAGAAAGCTCTTTAGTTTGGTTAAGTGAATAAATTAGCTTGTTTTAGGGGTTTTTTTTTATTTTTTATTTTTTAATTTTTTTTGGTGCTGGGGATTGAACTCGGGTCCTTGTGCTTGCAAGGCAGGTGGTGGAACTACTGAGCTAAATCCCCAGCCCTATCCTGTTTTCTTATAGAATAAAATTAGAATTAAGGGCCAGGAATGGTGATGCACACCTGAAACCCTAGCATTCAGCATGCTTGTTCAAGGCCAGCCTGAATTGCCTGAGACTCTTGTCTTAAAAAGAAAAAAAGAAAAAAAAATCAAGAGGTAATCATGTTTTTTCTGTATGATTTGTCAATAGGGAGACATGGGAAAAGAACAAAATAATAGAGATTTTATTCTCACTCTTTTCCTGTCCCTACCTCTATCTCCTCCCTTACCCCTTAGAATCCATTTTAGAATTGGTATAGTTTCATTCTGCTTTTCTGTATGAAGGTACAGGTTACAGAGAGAAAATAACTGAATTTTTGTTTGTGTCAAAAGAACTATGATACCTTTGGCTAAAAGAGGGAAATAACCAGACATGGTGGTGCACGCCTATAGTTCTAGGGAGGCTGAGGCAGGAGGATTGCTGTGAGCTCAAGGCCAGCCTGAACTATATAGCAATACCCTGCCTCAAAAAAAAAAAAAAAAAAAAAAAAAAGCAAAAAACAAAGTGAAACAAAAATAAAGAGATTAAGTATAAATACTACACTAACATGACAGTCTACCAAAAATGTTTAATCCCCAAACCTCATTGAAAAGTAATTTTTAACTTACCATAATAATTGAGCGATAAATACTAATGATTGTATATTTAGTAGGTATGCAAATATTAGCTAAGGAAGCCACATTTTAGGCTTGGATGGTCTTTTGTTCTTCTTTGTAGAGCATATGAAACTTCTAAGATGTATCGTGATTTTAAATTGAGAAGTGCACTGATTCAAAACAAGCAACTAAGATTATTACCACAAGAACATGTATATGATAAGATCAGTGGAGTATGGAATTTATCCAGTGACCAGGTACTGTGCTAAGGGCTAGTGAACCTCTCACTGCTGTATTTTGGTAATCACTTTTTTCATTTTTCCATTCATCAAGTGGTTTTTGTATTCATACAACCCTTTAATTATTAAAATAGCATTGTAGCTTCTGATAAATTAGTTATAGCTCTTAGTATGAAACAGTATTCTTTTTATTTGAGACAGGATCTTGCTATGTATTTCAGGCTAGCCAGTAAGCCCAGCTTGCCATTGTAATGTGAAACCAGCCACAGATGATGTGTAAAGAGTATATCTGCATTCCAGTGAGGATACCAAATGTAAATTTTGCACAATGCTCATGCCTCAGAAATATTCTTCTCTCAACTTTTTCTTTTTTATTTTTTTGAGACAGGGTCTCACTATGTGGTTGAGACTGATCTGGAACTCACTGTGTAGCCCAGGCTGGTCTCCCATTCACAGCAGTCCTCCTGCCTCAGCCTCCTGAGTGCTGGGATTACAGGCGTGCGCCACCATGCCAGGCGACTTTTTCTAATCTTTTAAAAATATAAAAAGTATTCTTATCTTGTGGGCCCTATAAAAAGTGGCACCAGACCACAGGCTGTAATTTCCCAAGCCTGCTTCAGGTGATAGCTTAGATAGCACTTTCTGAGAGCTTCTCTTTGTGCGTTCCTTATACAGCTGGAACTTCACACTGCATTCCAAGTTACTACTCTAAATTCCATGGCCTGTCTTATCCCCCGTGGGGATGCCTTATAAATGTAGTGGATCACTCCATTCATGGTTAGACCCTTACCACCTAGCATAATGCCTAGGATTTTTTATTAGCTAAGGAGATGTTCCAGGATTATGGTGTATGTAGTTTTATGAAGATAAGGATGTAACTTGAATTTGTTGAAAAATAATAAAATATAAAATATGTTCTCCCATTAATAAGTCTTTAGGGGTTTTACAAGTTGTTTCCTTTATCTAAGTAAGAACAAACATCCAGGTTTGGTGGTGCATACCTGTAATTCCAGCCCTTGGGAGGCTGAGGCAGCCTGGGCTACATAGTGAGCGCAAGGCCAGCCTGAGATACAAAATGAGACCTTTTCTCAAAGAAAAGAAAAAAAAGAGAAATATTCCATATAAATTTAGACTTAGTATTATTAATGGTACATAGGCAGGGAATAATGGGGGCTAATTTTTTTGCATAATAATTTCTTATAAGAGACATATACACTTATACATATTTTTATTTATAATTGAGGAAATAGATAATCTTTTTGGATGTTTTAAATTTGGCCATCCCAAGAACACAGCTTTTAAGGTTTGGGTCTGATAATTGTTTTATGCCCAACCTCAAAGTGCAACAGAATAAAGAAAATTTCTGTGGATTCGAGGGGATGTAGAAGTCAAGAAGGATAAATGAAGGGGTAAATAAATTTTGGTTCCATCCAGCGAATGGTGGACTTGTTGACATTCTGTAATACACTAATTAGTTTTGGTATTGCACTGCTTTTATGATAATCAAACTTGTATTCTTTTGGTATTTAGGAAGTAAAGGACAGATATCCAAATCAATGATCACTGATTTATTTCTCACTCTGCTTTATAGGGAAATTTAGGAACTTTTTTTGTTACCAATGTGAGAATCGTATGGCATGCAAATATGAATGACAGTTTCAATGTCAGTATACCATACCTGCAAATTGTAAGTACATGCATTTTGGTGACCTTGTTCAAATATAGAATTTTTTTTTTTTTGGTAGCGGGGATCAAACTCAGGACCTTGCACTGGCGAGGCAGGTAGCAGAACCACTGAGCTAAATCCCTGGCAAATATAGAATAATTTTTGTTTTGTTTTGTTTTTTGAGACAGGGTTTTACTATACATTCCAGGCTGGCCTTGAACTCATAGTACTCTTCCTGCTTCAGCCTCCCTGGTGCTCGGATTATAGGCACGCGCCTCTATACCTGGCTAGCCAAGCCTGTCTTTTGCTAAATGTTTTTATTTCTAGTTTGTTTTTAAATATCTGTTCATTTGTTCATCTGCCCAATATTGAGCCACCTACTCTGTGCTAGGTAGTAGAGAAAGAATTATGAGTATCACGAACCAGTGCATAGTTCCTGCCATAAAGACATTTCAGTCTGCTGGAGAAAAGCAACTTATTAAGACAGAAAACCATAGAATTAGGAAGAAAATGATTTCTGGGTCACTAAAGAAATATGAGAAGTTGTGTCATTGTGGGGAAGGCGTCCAGTCCACACCGGTATTTGATAAGCTGTGTGTACCGTCTGTTGCACTTGTCGTTGCATCGACCTGGGCAATTCTTCGCCTAACCTGGCCTGTTATGCTGAATAATTCCTGAGTAGTACACAGCTTGGTGCTCTCTGTTCTTCAGATAGAATCTATTTTCTGTTTAAGACTCCAGTTGCCAAGTGTGGCCTCTGGGATCATTCAGCCTGGCCAAAACGTCATGCAACTTGATCCGCGACAGTTCCTCACTGCGGGGGTCCAATTCTAAGGCCAGCGCTGCCCGAGCACACACGCACTGTGTAAACTCCCTGCAGCTTCGGGGTGAGCAGCCTGTGTCATTGGGACAGCCACCGCGCCACCTCCTAGGGCCATGAAGGAAACGGGGACTCCGTTCTTTGGACGGAAAAGTAGTTCCTATGTAAATGTTTTAAAGTGTGTATTAAAGACTCACTCTATCAAATAATAAAAACATGCATTTTTTTCCCTTTCCGTGTTACATCTAGCGTTCAATAAAGATTCGAGATTCAAAATTCGGTTTAGCTCTTGTCATAGAAAGCTCTCAGCAGGTAAGATGTTTTACATTTTTATTGATCTTATGTAGATCTTTTTAAACAATGTGACAATCCAGGGTTTTAGTTTTATTCATGTAGTGACCAGTATATATCTTAGAAGAATGGTAGTTGTAACATGAAGGATATGGAATGTTTTAGATCCTATAGCAATTATCTCTGTAAGAGGGATCCTGTCTGCGTTTTTTGTTGCACAGATATAATCACTGTTTATTATCATTATGCTCATCACTTATATTGTGTGTTTGTTTGTTTGTTTGTTTGTTTTGAGACATGGTCTCACTATGTAGTGAAACTGACCTGGAGCTCACTGTGTAGTCCAGGCTGGTCTCAAACTCGATTCTCCTGCCTCAGCCTCCCAAGCGCTGGGATTACAGGCGTGCGCCACCACGCCCAGCCTTCATCACTTATATTAATGACAGAATCATCCCCAGGCTGAGGCAGGAGGATCGCTGTGAGTTCGAGACCAGCCTGGGCTACACAGTGAGTTCCAGGTCAGTCTCAACTACATAGTGAGACCCTGTCTCAAAAAAAAAAAAAAAAAAACAAGAATCATCACACATTTTCTCACATGACAGAATCACACATTTTTTCATTGTAATAACTGGCTGTTACTATTGCTTCCTCATTTTACAGTCAGAGAAAGTGAGGCACAGAGAAATTAGGAACTCTACCCATGGTCTCTCAATGACAGTAATACCTGGGTTCCCTAAAGCTTCTGTTCTCTAACAATTCGGTTCTCCAACATCATGAAGCTGAATTTTGCTTCTGTTCATGAACTTGGCTTCAGGTGATGAATACAACCCTGGCCGCCTTCCCCAGAATCATGGAGCAAATTTAAGTTCGTGAACTGAGGCACCACATAGTAAGCGGTGGGGCCAGATTTCGATCCAGGTCTCACTAATTCACAGGACTTTGTAAAACACAGCTACATTCAGAGACATAATAGACTCTCTGAGATTTTATTTCTCACAGATCACACTAAGTACTCCACTTACTAAAGAGTCTCGTCCCCTCCTGGGAGGATTTTCATAAGTCAGATTTGTTCCTAAGTTCAACAAAATGTGTCTGTTTGGTTTTTTAAGCTTTATATTGTATATTTGTGTCAAAGGCATATAAAACTCACTTTCTCTCAAAAACAACAACAACAACAAAAGCCAACATGTAAGAAGACACTTCTAAATTCTATGTTTTGTTTTTTGAGACAAAGTCTCACAATGTAGGTCAGGCTGGCCTTGAACTCACTAGGTAGCCCAAGCTGGCCTCAAACTCATAGCAATCCTCCTGCCTCAGCCTCGTGAGTGCTGAATTAGAAGTGTGTGCCACCATGCCCAGCTAAATTTAAATATTAATATCTACTCCTTTCCCATGGCTTCTGGCTGCCATTTATTGAGTACTTACTGTGTCCCAGGAACCATAACAAGTGTCATAAGTATATTATTTTATATAATACAGCTTGATAACCATTTTATGGTTAGAAAATTGAAGCTTAGAAAGGTTAAGGAAAGTAAGTTTCCCCATATCATACAACTAGTAAAATAGTTGTAGGGGCTGGTGTGATGGTGCATGGCTGTAATCCCAGCACTAGGGAGGCTGAAGCAGGAGGATCACTGTGAGTTCGAGATCAGCCTGGCCTACATGGTGAGTTCCAGGTCAGTCTCAACTACATAGTGAGACCCTGTCTCAAAAAAACCAAAAAAAATAAAATAAAAATAAAAAAAATAGACTTTGGCAGGGACAAGGGGAAAAAATGAGAACCAAGACCACCTGTCATGTAAAGGTACAAGATCCCAATAATGAATGTAACTGTACTGTATAGCTAAAATGTACCAATAAACTCAATAAAAGAAAAAAAATAAAATAGTTGTAGGATCAGAATTTGAACTGCAAAGTCTATGCTCTATTAATGTGCTACCTAATTTTTGAGCACCCTTCTCTAACAACCTATTGCAGTCAAATTTCTTTTGTGGGGTGGGTATGTGGGTACACACTATGATTTTGAGGCCAGCCTGGAAAAAAATGTTTTTCTAAGTCTTCAAGGACATAGCCTTGGATAAGTCATCTCTTTTCTTCTTCTTCTTCTTTTTTTTTTTTTTTTTTTTTTTTTGAATCTCACTATGTAGTTGAGACTGACCTGGAACTCACCGTGTAGCCCAGGCTGGTCTCGAACTCACAGCGATTCTCCTGCCTCAGCCTCCCGAATGCTGGGATTACAGGCGTGCGCCACCGTGCCTCGCTCTTTTCTTCTTTTAATGTATACTCTATTCTTTTTCAAGGTCCAGCTCACAAGAAGCTTCATTCCCTTGGCCTTCGCAGCCTACAGTGTGCTTTTTAAATGAAATAATGTGATGTCTGGTGCTGCTTCAGAATAACCCGGGGGAGGGGTTAGGTGAGAGAGCAGCTAAAGATGAACCCGAGCTGGCCACACCTTGCCCCTGCCTGAAATCCCGTGGTGACCATGGGAAGGCTCAGTATTGTCTTCTATTTCCATAGATGCTTGAAGATTTTCAGAGCAAGGAGTGTAATTTCTTTAAAAAATCAGCTTAAATGTTTTGCTGTAAGATATGAGCGATTAGCACTATAGTTTATCATGTACCACAAACACCATTCCTCAGGATTATTTTTTTGTTTTTCTTGCAGAGTGGAGGATATGTTCTTGGCTTTAAAATAGATCCTATGGAAAAACTACAAGAATCAGTTAAGGAAATCAATTCACTTCACAAAGTCTATTCTGCCAACCCTATATTTGGAGTGGATTATGAAATGGAAGAAAAGGTAATTTGTTCAGTACGTGAAATACAGTTTGCCAGTTTTAACTGCGCGCTGCCTGTAAATTCAAATATAAACACACTGTATACAATTTTACTTTAAACTGTTTTGACAGTGATGAATATACAAGCCAACTGTGGTGGCACGTGCCTGCGATCTCAGCACTCAGGAGGCTGAGGCAGGAGGATTGCAGGAGTTCGAGGCCAACCTGGGCTACATAGCAAGCTCAAGGCCAGCCTCAACTACATAGCAGACCCTATCACCAAAAAAGGCAAAAAATAAATAAGCAAGTAAATATAGACGATGATGACTGTAGAGACTGCTGAAGGGAGCATCACCCTTGCTGGGTGACGACTTGCTGGCCTCCACTGGCTGCATACCTCCTGCCTTGCTAGCTGAGCAGCTTGTACACTGAGTCTCTGCAGCAGGGCTCCTCTCATGAGACAGACTGAGTCTCTCACCTGTGGGCTCTTTGTGTCCTACCTCAGCCTCGCATTAACACAACAAACCACTCAGACCTCTCCTCTAGCTTCCCCATTGTGTCACAAGACACCAGGTCGGGAGTCTGCTCCTGCTTCTGTGGGTCAGTGCCCCGCTGTGTGAGTTTTGAAATATTTGGGGGCCTTCTTTTGTTTTGACCAGGTCTTGCTGCGTTACCCATATTGGTCTCAAACTCATGGGACTGCAGGAGAGACCCTCCTGCCTCAGCCTTCTGAGCACTAGGCTAGCAGCACATCGCCAGGGCTTGCGAGCTCTAGGGAGCTTTGACTGTCGCCCCACAACACGCTCTGCCTGCCTCCTGGTTTCAGGTTGCTCACGAGGCCTTGCATCCAAGTCCGGTCTTCCCTTTGGCCCTCACCAGCCCGGCTGGAACTCCACTGGGATCCTGCCAGGTGTCCCCCTGCTCCTGGTACCCTTTCAGCTCCTCTCACTTCTGAACACTCAAATACTGTCACATAGATGAGCATCCCCAGTAGTTTGAGTTGAATTTATCATTTCAGAGTTTAATTAAGTTTAATTATCCAAGTAAGACATTCGAGGCCTTGAGAGAGCATCTCAAACTTGGCACTCCAAGAAGTAGCCACATTTTTTTCTCAAAGCAGCACCTTTCTGTTTTATGCATTCGTATCGCTAGCATTGTTAAAGTTAGCTGTACTTAAAAGAAAAAAATGTGAGATAATGAAAAGATGGAAATAAAGTGATTGTAGATGGGGAGGGGAGGAGGGGGTAAAGAGAGGGCAGCGACAAGGGGAAAAAATGAGAACCAAGACCTGTCATGTAAAGGTACAAGATCCCAACAATGAATGTAACTGTACTGTACACCTAAAATGTACCAATAAACTCAATTAAAGCTGAAAAATAAATAAATAAAGTTAGCTGTACTCAAAACCTTGAAGTTTTCCTGCATTTTTCCCATTATCTTATTTTGAACATTCATTCGATTATACCAGTCTCTTTTTTATTCCTCTCCATTTAAATGTCAATTATCATTGCTTAGGGAAAATGTTACGAAACTAGCATAGTCCATGGAACCTGTTAATTTTGGTTTCACAAATTATTTGTGATCTGAGGCAAATTTGAACTTTAGCTTTCTCATAAAGTGTAGATAAAGTATCTCACAAAGTGGTTTTGGGGTTTGTTTTGTTTTTAGTGTTTTGTTTTGGGTTTTGTTTTTTTGAGGATTTTGTTTTTTGTTTTTTTTGCTTTGTGGTTCAGGCTGGTCTTGAGTTCAGGCTGGCCTTGAAGTCGCTGCAATCCTCCTGCCTCAGCCTCCCAAGTGCAAAGATTGTAGACCTGCATCACAATGTCCAGCTATTTTGTTTTGTTTTGTTTTTTGTTTTTTCAGTACCAGGGATCATATTCAGGACCTTGTGCTTACAAGGCAGGCACAGTGCCACTGAGCTAAATCCCCAGCCCTAATATTTACAGTTCTTACAGAACATTTTTCTAAAATAATTTGGTTAATAGTGTGTCATGTATTTTGACATCTGTTGATTTTTAGCCACAGCCCCTTGAAGCTCTGACAGTCGAACAAATCCAAGATGATGTAGAAATAGACTCTGATGATCACACGGATGCTTTTGTGGTGAGTGTCACAAAGGAGACATTAAATCTCTTACGATTCGTATCTGAGTCATGTTTAATTAAAAAATGATGTGTAAAACACTGCAGAACTTGAGTCTTTTGAAAAAAATGTGACTTTAATAAGAGTAATTTTTTTAAGTAAAGGAATTCCTTTTGTGACAATACTTAATTGCCAAACTAGGAAATAGTTTGAGAACAATCATTCAGAGATTTTTTCCCATGCTTTGAAATAATAGAACATGTTCAATGTTATAGTTATTAAAATCTACAGTTCCCATAATTTTTATGAGGATTTCCCTTAATTTATAAATATATTATTTTAGAAGGATATATATTTGAACAGTAAAGGTTTCTGTTTCCAATTTGGTATTATTTAATTAACAGCAGATATAATAATACTTCTCCGCTCTTTGATCTCTGAATGAACCAGAATACCTCACTGGTAACAAATAATTTCCAACAAAGGTGTGAAATATTAATTATAAACTACTGCTCCCTCCAATTGTATGCATCATCTTCTTTTTTTTTTTTTTTTTTTTTTTTTTT